AGTAATCGCCAGTTTCCGCCATGCAGTTCTCTAGAAATGGTGTTATGTATTACATCTTAACAATAGTCAATTACGACTTTTTTATCACTAAACCATTTCCCAATATGACAATACAGTTTTACCAAGTAAGTAAAGAGTGCGTTGTTCTTTGCTTTAAGTGTCAATGCTAATGCAAGTGTTCTTTGTTGACAGATCAAGAGTTTCGTGGCTACTCTCACACTAACCCTAGTGAAAATCCTCTTCAGTGTTGCATCTGTGGGAAGAGTTACAGTTTTAAAAGAAAATTGGATGAGCATATGCGCAGTCACTATGAACAAAATTTCCCGTGTCCCACCTGTGAAAAGAGCTTCAAACAGAAACGAAACTTAGATGCGCACATGCGCACCCACACCGGGGAGAAACCATTCCGATGTTGTCTCTGTGAAAAGAGCTTCAGTGTAAAAAAAACGTTACATATACACATGCGCACCCACACTGGTGATAAACCATTTCTGTGTTGTACCTGTGGAAAGGGTTTCAGTGAGAAACGAAAATTAGAGACACACAATCACACTCACACTGGGGAAAAACCTTTCCAATGTTCTCTCTGTGAAAAGAGCTACTGCGAAAAGGCAAAGTTAGATACCCATACACGCACCCACACTGGTGATAAACCTTTTCAGTGTTCTACCTGCGGAAAGAGTTTCCATTGTCAAGGAATCTTACTAGGCCACATGCGCACCCACACTGGTGAAAAACCTTTCCAGTGTTCTCTTTGTGAAAAGAGCTTCAGTAAAAAATATCACTTACGAAGCCACATGCGCACCCACACCAGTGAAAAACCTTTCCAGTGTTCTATATGTGAAAGAAACTTTAGTGAAAAACAACATTTAAATAGGCACATGCGCATCCACAAGTGAATATCCTCTGTCAGTAAAAGTAAGGTTTCAGTATGGTGCAAACTTACGTAAGAACATGTGTTTTTACATATTTTAATAAACTCTGTTGAATCTCTGGAGACAGTTTCTCGCATGTACTATTGAATGGTCTTTCTCCATACGTGGGAAGAATTTTAGTGTTGGTATAAAGTCTGCTGTCCTAGTGACCACGTAGATAACTTTGTTTCGGCCAAGTCGTATCGATGAAATATATTGTTAATTGTACCAATGTTCAAATAATAAATGTTTGTGCATCTTCTATGTAATTATGTTCACTTTGCATGTCGTGTCTTCAGTAGAACGCTTTCGTAGCGCTCTTCCATGTCCCTCAATTGCAATGCTGACCCTACACCCTGAGGAGGCCTTGAGCGATTAGCAACCGTGATTGGTTACGTTAATAGGTTTGGAAATGTGGAATCTCGCCTGTCTGCTCGCTAATGTTAGAGATTCTGGCCTGCACCTAACTGCCATGGAAATCTCACACCTCCAGACTGATGTGTTGCGACTGAGATCGATTGCTACGTGGCTTTTAACGCTTCGTCCATCTCCGCCAAGCAGTAAGAGGGTTGGACTCTTGCCAATCTTTTTCCTTTTCTACGTAATTTTACCTCTATGATGTCGTGTATTTGTGTCCTTTTCTTAATGCCTATTATTATAAGTGTGGTGTTTTATATCCGTTTTATTGATTGTCATACATTATATTCCGTCCACCCAATTAATTAATTGCCTGTTAAATTTGTTATTCGCGTACTTTCTGTAGTAATCAGCCAGGCTTTGAAGTAATTCAGACCGGTATTTGTCTTTGATGTACCTTTAGAACACAAATGGTAAGTACAAATTGTGAATTTGTTAGTGTCTATTAAATATAACAAAGATTTTTTAGATGTGATGGGTAGTAAGAATATCAACCGCGATTTTCTAATTCAAATTTAGAGAAAAGTATCCTTCTTATTAAAGATAAATAAGAAGATAAATTTATTTGAACTGCAAATCGTCATAACCCGGTGGCAGCTAATTACATAAATAAGATAATACAGCTAATATACAAAATATATATGTCTTATTTAACTTGACAACTCAAAAAATACGCGATGTTCGAAAAATTGAGCCGAGACCAAATCTTAACAGTTATCAAGGGGGAATCATTCGATGCTAAAATCAGCGCCCCCAGCGGTAAATCTTAAATAGGAACACTTTTTTTTATTTCAGATTCGGATTCTATGGACAAAAATACGTAAGTTTTTTCTGAAACTTTTTTCTGATAGAGATAGCTGTAATCGCAAACATTTAATTTCCGAAGATTTTTGACTGTAATTGAAGTGGTTTTGAGTGTGGCCTCAGGGCACACCCATCAATTTGTTGGTTGCGTCTCTCCATGGTCCGTGCCTACAGTACTTCAGAGGCGATCCGATATTTATTAAACATTTACCTTTCTGAACTAAACATTCCCCTTGTTGCATCATGGATTATGTAAATCTGCAAGAAAAAATTGAATGATTTTTATTTACGGCGAAAGTGGGAGAAGATTTCGACCGCTGCTGTTAATTTGTATGCTCAACGTTTTCTGACAGAGTACGATCGCGTTTCTTCTTTCGTTAGAATTGTTCAACAATTCTCTACTGACGGAAGTGTAATACCAAAGGAAAGAAACACGTAGAGTTTCTGCTACTGGAGAAAAGTAATCAAATACCAGTACTGGGTGCAGTAGCTCATAATCCACATGCGGAGTTTCAAGAAATATCCAACAATCAGTGATTTCTCGTATGAGTGTTTGGAGGATACTGAAGAAACATAAATTTCATCCGTATCATGAATCCTTGCATCAGGAATTAACTGACAATGACTTTCAAAACCGACTACAGTTTTGTCAATGGGCAGTTCAGAGAATACAAACGAATCCGAACTTTTTTACTCTCTGCGACGTGATTATTCAATCGGGAGCTTCGTCACGACTTAAATTGTTGGTATCGATGCTCGTGATTGAAGACAGATGACAGTTTCCCCCTCTCCTTCCAGCTCCCAGCCTCGGGGAGCCTCAGTATGCAAATCGGAATACGCTGGAAAACAATCGAGTATCTCCGTGGTGCGACGTGGGCATGGAAAGTGGACAATTCGGATGGTGGTTATTCAATAATAATGGTTCACCTATAAGTGTCGCTGCCTCGCGAACGGGCTTCCTTCGCACCCCACCAAGGCGGCCCATTGAAGCTGCGCGTTTAGGGCCCGCAGTCGCCAGGGCTGTTTTCGCAACACCACCTAGACACAAGGCCTGAGCACTGGAGTTTTTCAAAGACAAAATGGTGGCCAAAGAAGGCCCACTTGTTCGAGTTGAGGCGGTCCAATTGAGTAGCACATAGCACGTGTCGCTTTCGAGTTGTGGTTATGTCAGGGGAATGCGGCATTACGCCCTGAGGAAGGTCGCAGAATGGCGACCGAAACGTCGGCACCTTCGCCATGGACGCGGCGTCACCCGGACAGCCTAGTAAATACTGACCCCGGCCGCGGAAGCCTACGCTCTCATTGTATACCCCAGCTGCTAGCGACCAAAACTGGACCAATCAGCTTCCCCCTCCGCAACCTTATACAAAGTAGTCGCACAACAAGATATTCTGCTAAACACACATTTTTTGAAAATAAACAATTTCGACATGCCGTTAATGACACCTTCATAAGATGTACTCTCATGAAAGAAAAAGTGAATAGTAGCTTACAGTACAGAAATATGAAATCTGCGTCCTGTAAACGTTGCGATAATCAATGGAAATTAAATTCCATTCTTTCATGACTAGCAAAATACTGCGTATTTTTTTCGAAAAATATATATTGTGTCAAAAATCCTTCAGCAGTGATGATTCAATAGGCAATAGTGGATTATCTTTTTTCACTAATTCTGTTTCGACCATATCGCGCACACCCTTGCCATGCCATTGAGATACTGTATGCTCTTAGAAAATCCGCGGAATCGAGTTTCCTGATCACGTGTGGCAGAACAACCTCATTAACAAGTAATTTAGACCAAAATTTTGAATCGATGCAGAACATCAAAATATACAACGTTAAAAAGCGGGTTCTTTAACATAACGTTAGATTAGCATACCCGCACAAGAAAAATGCATGAAACAAAAATACTAACTATACCAGAATTTTGTCCTAATGAACAACTAATTTATACCTGATTTTGAAGTGCACAACATCAAAATTATACCACGCTTAAGAGTGGGTGCGCTAACTTTACGTTAAGTTAGGATACCCGCACAAGAAAAACGCGTGAAACAAAAAAACTAAATACACCTAAATTCTGTTCTAATTAAGAACTAATTTATACTCATTTTAAAATTTTGAATCGATGCAAAACATCAAAATATAATTTTTACCTTACCCTCACCAGTAGCCCTGACGAGGCGGTCGTTTTTTGTCATGAAGGATACATATGCTGCACCCTTTCTACTTTAGCGGCAAAGGAGGCAGTGTTTAATTACTAATTTATTACGTAACTGAATATATGAAAAAAACGGCATATTGGCCGGCAACCTAAGGCTCACATGTAAACTTATTGTATTTTCTGTTAAAGTTTTCCTGATTGTGAATGATGGCACCAACAATTTTGATTAAATTTTGACATCCAACAAAGTATGTAATGCTTAAGACAATGGTGCAGATCTCATGTTCATTAAAAATTCAAATTTTTGTCAGCCTTTTTTATTATATGAAGATAAACATTTTTAATGAAATGTGTTCATCACAAATAAATCTTTAAATAATATCACATTTAATTTTTCGAAAATATGAGTAAGTTTTGCGAATTTTTGTGTCAAAGATAGGCAATTTTTATTTTCTATAAACTATTGTTTCTTAAAGTCTGCTCAACATGTTTTGATTCAATTTGCATCTTAGGTAGCGTACAGAACGATTAAGAAAATGATGCAGGTCTCATATTCGTCGAAATGTTTTCGATAACTTTCGGCATCTTCCAACTACAATTGTAAAGATACATTTTTTCTTACTGAAGTGTGTTCATCAGAAACATCTTCAAAAAGTCAGGTTGAATGTTTCGAAAATATCAGTATTTGGCTTCAAACTTTGTCGCCCGCTCTGAGTATCCTGCGTTTCGTGAACGCAATATGACATGTGATTCAAGGCAGTTGGATGCTACGTAAGTTAGAATTTGTATATTATTTCAACTTTCTTTGTTAGTTTCATACATTTGAGCTTTTGTTATACGTTTACAAATTAATCTTTTAGAAATAATTTAAAAGTATTTGAAATTAATGAAGGAAAAATTGCTACCCTTCAGGGAATACTAGATTGGAATGGCAGCCATTGCATTTCGCGCCGCGAGACAGCAGCTGAATTAATGTGAATCCCGTTGTTGCGCTACGCTTTAGCTGTATGAAAAGCAGTTACATACAAATTGTCCAATTTGAGTTCATATTTGCTTCACAATGTTTAGTATTCGTACCAAATGTTCTACGATGTGAAATAAATTGTTCAGAGAATGATGACTGTGATGTGTGGATTTGGAGATATTTGTGGTATATGTAGTATTACGTAACCATTACTAAGGGCGAGAAAGTACGAGTAGTTTTAGTATCAAAGGGAGACCGGAATTACTGTAACAAATACAGAGGAATTAGTTTACTCAACACCTACTACGGCATATACGCATCGATTCTCACGAACAGGTTAAAATATGTATCCAAAAGGCTGTTCTCGGAAGCTCTACATGGTTTTAGGCATGGGAGATCATGTTCAACTGTATATTTTCCATTCTCTCAGCTTTTATCGGAAAGAGAAGAGAACATCAACTTTCCGCATGCGTACATAGCTTTCATACAGTTCCAGAAGGCTTTTGACAAAGTTAACAGAAACTTAATAAGGAAAGTAATGAAAGAGAAAGGCGTTCAACCGCATTTACGAATTCGTAATAAGAGCTTTCTAGAGTCTAGTAGTTTGTTGAAAACAAAATTATTATTGAAATGGCACATAATACAAAGAAATCTTATTCCGAAGAAATAATGTGGAGTAAAACAATGACGCTCACTGTCGCCGACAATTTTTACTTTCTCGTTACCGCTTACGCTAGAGAGAAAGGTATGTAATGCTATGCGGAAAACAAATTATCGGGTGAACAATTCTTATTACTGGGCCCTGGTAGAGAAGAAAAAATTGATAAAACAAGTTGCTAAATTAAGAAGGAAATCGTCTTAACACGTGATGTAGCCAGAATAGTACATGTTTTGTGGATCCTTGATAGAGAAAAATCA